GCACTCGCCTTTTCTCACCGGAGCGAGGTTCCGGGGCTTCGCCGGCGTTGGAGGCGTGCTCGGAGGCGGCACCCTGGGCACGCGCTGCTGGGCGTGCAAAGCAGCGGCTGGAGGGGGCGGCCCTGGTCCCCAAGCCCCTCTGGGGCCCCCTCTCTCCCGTTCAGTGGCACCCTGACCCGCACCCCACTAGGGGGGCGGTCACCCCACGCAGGCTGCCAGCTGCGCGCTCTGTAGAGTGCGGGGCAGTTCCTGCCCTAGGGGCAGCGGAATCGCTGGAAGCTCTGGCAAGGGCAGGTCCCGGGAGGGGCGGGGGGCTTGGGCAGAACCTCCTGAAGTGGGTCTCTCCCCCCACCCTCGGGAGAAGCTGTCGCTTTAACGCCGAGCAGCTGGTTGCAAACGGGGTGGTGGTTGAGGCGGGCAAGCGCCGCCGGCCACCCTCGACCTGCTCCCATCCCACCCTCCTCGCCGTGCCCTGGTCCGCTCGGTCTCTGCTCTCAGGCCCAGGACTCTGGACAAACAAAAGCAGGGATGTTCCTCCGGGGCGGGCGCCCCGCGGTCCACCGGGCGGAGGAGTGGGCAGAGGCTCCCCGGTTCCTTGGCAGCAGGCCCCGGAGGAGAAGGTTAAACAGAGGCATCCCTCGCGTGTGGAACTGCAAGGAAAGAGCGAGCCGGAGGAGAAGCAGCGGGCTGAAGAAGGGCCCAGAGAAAGGCACTCCGGGCAAAGGGACGGTCCCTGTCACCGGGGCTGCAGTCACACTACAGCATCCTTAGTGCTTTGGGGAGGGTCTTTATGGGTGTGGGGGAGGTACTTGGCTCAGGGCCGTTCCCTGGCGTTTTAGAAGCCATTCCAGTTCTGGCGTGAGAAGACACGACTTCCGAATTGTTGCCCCTGCAAGGTTGGGGCCAGGGACACCCGCCTGCTTACAGGGGGGCCCTCCCAGCACTCCCACTGGGAGCAGGGGACACTCACAGCCCTCCTTACAGGGTGGCTCCCCTCACCTCAGCGCTCCCAACAAGCCCCACGGAGCCTGAGGCTCCGACCTGCGCCCGAGTTACGGGCGGGCCTCGTGGCTGCAGCACATCATCATCATCGTCACCATCATCATCTTGTACTTCTGCAGGAGCCCAGCGAGCGACCTCGACCCCAAGCAGGGGGAGGTCAGCCCAGCCAAAGGTGGGCCTGCGCCCTCTGAAGGGCGAGGGAGGGTTCGTTCCTGTGGGCTGGCTAAAACAGCGTCCCAAGCCCTGCTTAAAGCGAGCTGGGGCTGCTCTAGGGGACAGAGGGCTCCACCGATTATTGTGGCTGTGCGTGGAAGCCCGAGAGCTTCAACACGCCAAGGGGCAAATGCTGTGACACGCCCTGACAACAGGGGGTCACGCTGGCGGGGCACCAGCGGGACAGGCAGCCACGCAGGCAGAGACCCAGGTCCTGACTACAGGCGGGTCGCATTGCCCGCACCGCGACTAAGCGGCTCGGTGCCGTCCTTGGAAAGAAGGGGCGAGTCCAGACCGTCCCTCCGCTCACGGACTCAGAGGGGGGCCCCCTGTTACTGCACAGAGCCCTGCCCTCCCGGGAAGTTCAGGCTAAATACGCTGCAGCTTTTTTAACAAGGGCCTAAACAAGCTCATTCTCCTGCTCATGCACACGCACGCAAAGACACGCACACAATCGCAGACACAAACAAGGAAAGAAGTTCCACAAAGAGAGCGTGGGCTCCGTGCAGCCAATGCCTGGGGAGTCACCCTACTTGCGAGCAGGAGAGGAGAGCCTCGGACCGCGCCCGGGGCTGCGTGGAAGCCGGAGAGCTTCAACACGCCAAGGGGAAAACGCTGTGACACGCCCTGACAACAGGGGGTCACGCTGGGTAGGCCACCAGCAAGCAGAAAGCTGCTGCTGGGGCAGGGAAACGGCCCTCCCCTGCTTACAGGGTGGCCTAGGGGTCCAGAGAGCTCCATTTCCCCCTCGGGTGCGGGGACGGTGGCTCTCACCCTCCTTACAGGGTTGCCACGCTCTCTGGGCAGCCAAACCGTGGGGCATCGTGGCAAAAGGCCAAAGACTCCAGCCGTGTTTACAGGGAGATCACGCAGCGCACCGCCAGTTAAAGGTGTTGGCAGTGCTCTTGTGTTCAGCCCACCGCCCCTCGTCTAGCTCACCCGTGGTGCTCACTGGCACCGTTCCACACAATGTTCTTGTCCAGGGACGGCTGCCAAGGAAGTGAGGGCTCAAGCAAAAACCAGGTCCTCCGCCCGGGGGAGTGAGGGACATCAACCTCAGAGGAAGGTCCCAGACAGGTTCGCCCCAGCCTCCCACCTTCCCCACTAGCGTCCACCCTCCTAAACTGCCCCAGGTACTGAGAGCAGAGAGAAAGAAGCCCAGGGCAGGGCACGCCCAACCACCCATCTCAGCCCCATGCCTCTGAAAGGTCAGGGACAGAAACACCCATTTGATTAAAGGGGTCCCTCCCAACACCGCCCGCCCAGCAGAGGGGCCACACACAGCCCTTCTTACAGGGCGGTCCCCCTCAGCTCAGCACTCCCAACAAGCCCCACGGAGCCCGAGGTACGGGCTGGCTAACCTGGCTGCAGCACAACGCCCCATATTCAGGAGCTCCTCTTCCCCCCACCCCAGGCTGCGGAGATGGTGGCTCTCACCCTGCTTACAAGGTTGCCCCTCTCTCCGGGAAGGCTACCCACCCACGGAGCAACATGGCAAAAGCAAAGAGCCCAACCCTGGTGACAAGGAGGGCACCCAGCTCAAAGCCAGCCAGGGCACCCCAAAGGTGCCAGTGACGCCCTTGTGTGACCCCAGCCCCCGTGACAAGGAGGTCCCTGTGCCCAGAGTGCCTTTCACTTTCCTCCTCTTCAGCCTCCCGGGCTTCCCCCGCTCCGCTCCTCTTCAGTCTCCCGGGCTTCCCCTCTCCGCTCCTCTTCAGTCTCCCGGGCTTCCCCTCTCCGCTCCTCTTCAGCGTCCGGGGCTGAAGGCGCTCTTGCCTATCACTGCCACACGACGGACGCCGCCTCTGTCTGCTCCGCAGACCGGTGCGAAGGCAGGAGAGCGCGGTCAGGGACGAAAGGGACCGGGAGCTCCCCACAGCCCCGCCCGGCCCCGTGGGAACTGTCCCCAGCACCACCGGCCCCGCCGTCCTCCCACACCTACTCCCGACTCCCCTCCCTCTGCCCCCCGCCCCCCCTCCCTCGGCCCCCTGCCCCCCGCCCCCCCCCCCCCCTCCCACCCGGTAAACGCTCACCCATCAGCTCCTCTCACGGGATGGGTGCTCCGGGGCTCCCTGCAGGGACGAGGGTGAAGAGCTCTCTGCTGCTCCGGGCCGCTCCAGGCGGAGACTGGATCCTCCGTGGTCCTGCTGCACCCCCTGCAGCGATGCCTGCGCGCGCCTCCCGGGAAGGCGCAGAGCCCAGCCCGGCCGGCGGGAACCGACCGCCGCCAGCCCGCCCTGGGGCGGACGCGGACCCTTCCCTGACAACACCGCTTCCCACCCGCCCCGAGGCAATACAGACCCTTCCCCACCAAGACAACGGCACCGGCTCCATCTATCCTGAGGCAATTACAGACCCCTCCCCACCAAGACATTAGCACCGGCTCCCCTCTATCCTGAGGCATTTACAGACCCTTCCCCACCAAGACAACGGCACCGGCTCCATCTATCCTGAGGCAATTACAGACCCCTCCCCACCAAGACAACGGCACCGGCTCCATCTATCCTGAGGCAATTACAGACCCTTCCCCACCAAGACAACGGCACCGGCTCCATCTATCCTGAGGCAATTACAGACCCCTCCCCACCAAGACATTAGCACCGGCTCCCCTCTATCCTGAGGCAATTACAGACCCTTCCCCCCCAAGACGACGGCACCGGCTCCCCTCTATCCTGAAGCAATTACAGATCCCTCCCCACGAAGACATCAGCACCGGCTCCTATCCCTCCTGAGGCAATTACAGACCCTTCCCCCCCCACGACGACGGCACCGGCTCCCCTCTATCCTGAAGCAATTACAGATCCCTCCCCCCCAAGACGACGGCACCGGCTCCCCTCTATCCTGAGGCAATTACAGATCCCTCCCCACGAAGACATCAGCACCGGCTCCTATCCCTCCTGAGGCAATTACAGACCCTTCCCCCCCCACGACGACGGCACCGGCTCCCCTCTATCCTGAAGCAATTACAGATCCCTCCCCCCCAAGACGACGGCACCGGCTCCCCTCTATCCTGAGGCAATTACAGACCCTTCCCCACCCCAAGACGACGGCACCGGCTCCCCTCTATCCTGAGGCAATTACAGACCCTTCCCCACCCCAAGACGACGGCACCGGCTCCCATCTATCCTGAGGCAATTACAGACCCCCTCCCCACCAAGACATCAGCACGGGCTCCCCTCTATCCTGAGGCAATTACAGGCCCTTCCCCACCAAGACGACGGCACCGGCTCCCATTTATCCTGAGGCAATTACAGACCCCTCCCCACCAAGACATCAGCACCGGCTCCCATCTATCCTGAGGCAATTACAGACCCTCCCCCACAAGACGACGGCACCGATTCCCTCCCATCCCGAGGCGATCACTACCCTTTCCCCGGCGGCACCGGCTCCCGTCCCGTCCCCCGGCGGGTCCCGCTCCCGTCTGCCTCAGACGCCCCCTCAGCCCCCTGAGGTAAATGCGCGCTCCCGCTCTTCCCGCCCACGCGCGAGGCGCCCCTGAGGTGAGGGGGCACGAGCCCGGCGCGTGCAGCATCCCCTCGAGTTTCCCGCCTTCCCGCGAGGCGCCCGGGGCTGCAGCACGCGCTGGGCTCGTGGCTCACCGCCCGTACCACGACCCCGCCTACGCAGCACAAACCCACCCCTCTCCCCTTCCGGCCCCAGGGGCGGTCCTTTTAAACCCCTAAAAGCCCTGCAGCTGGGAGCGATGGGCGCTGCGGAGCACCTGGTGTCGAGGACCGCATTTCCCCATCAATACAAGGCACAGGCAGTGCTCAATCACCCGAAACCAACACACACCTCTCTATCGAACAGTAACACCCAAGTGCTGGTTTATCTCCTTCCGGAGGAGCAGCTGCATCTCCGCCACCAGCTGACGGCTCAGGGCCTTGTCGCAGGACTGAAAGGTCAGCCTGTAGCACAAGCTCCTCCGTCGCGTCTCTGACTGCTGGAAACTGTCGATTAACTGGATGGACGTGACCGTTTCACACGACACCTGCCTGGCAATGGTGTGAAAAGCAACTTCATCGAACTGTTCCCCATCAGGAACCCAAAAGCTGACATCATGCACATAGGAAGGTGGATAGAGAGAAAAACTCTTGAATAGCCTTAATTCTCCTCTAGGAAATTGATGGAGGAACCGGTTGTCTGATGTCCAGAGCATTCGCCAACCACATATTCCACAGATCAGCATGGCTACGAGGTCAAGATTCAATGAAGCAAAGACAATAACCAGTTCACTGCCTACTAGTTCATAATGAGCTGTCCTTATAACTCCCACACAGGAGCCCTTGTCATGGGAGCCTGAAGTATCTGTCTCCACACAGATTAAGTACTGAATTTTACTAAGCTGAGTTTCAAAAGCAGCAAAGTCATTTAGCTCAGTTGTTTCAAAGCTCATTGCTTCCTGCAGGTTGATACTCAGTTTAAAGCTGGAAACAGTTTGGTGAAGAGAATGTATGCTAGTTTTAATGTTATCCACCAACATCTGGATATAGCTTTTCTCTGTACCTCTGTTAATGGCGCTTACAAAAAACATCTCATGAAAAACAGGCATTGAGTGAGGAGTGATAAAACACCTCCTGAAAACCAGCCCAGAAATAACATAAAGGGTCTCTGGGAGAAAAGCTCCTCTTTGTACTACTGCCTGAGCATAAGGTAGAAGGGAAGGTCTAAGATAATACCGCTTTGAAGTGTGGCATCCCTCTTGTACATCCACCCAGCCATTCCTATCTGCATCCCTGCAAAAATCAACATGGTGAAATGAAACTGCATTTGCCAGTCCATTAGACATTTCTTCAGTGCTTGGAGTCTCCTCTGGGTTCAGAATGATCCAAAAGATATTTGAGTCACAGACACCATTGAGTTGACCTTGGTGGAGCAGAGGAAGGCAGGAGTCAATGTTTTGTAACGGAAAGGCTTGGCAAAGCTCTGCAGTGAGCTTCTCCTTTACTGTCCGTACCGGATGATTTGAATTTGGTTCTAGGAAACCCCTGTGGAAAATAAAAGTGTGAATTACACACACCACTAAACAGATTTCCCTGAGATACCTTCCTGTGATCATAATTTGAGCCCAGCAACTTACCCAAAACAGTGTCAGATATAAAGGTTTCTAATAATTACCCAAACAAGCCAAGTCTTTCATCAGAAGTGTTGAAATGGCTAACATGTTTTCAGGACAGTGGTGTTTCTCTCCATGTTACAATCAAGAACTAATTGCACTTTCACTGGTAAAAAAGGAATGAGAACAGTCAGGATCACCACTGCCACTCAGCACAGGCATTACCAGACTACAGCAGTGAATCAAATTGCTTCTTGTTGAATCCCAGGTCTTGTTAAAAGGTGCTAAAATGCAACATTGCCTGGGAGAGTGGTCCAGCACTGGAATAAGCTAGCTGGCTCTGCTTTCAGCTGTGGGGTGGGACTAGATGATTGTTGGAGGTCCCTGCCGACATCAACCATGCTGTGATTCTCGATTGTCTGCTAAGCAGATACACGTTCCACAGCCATCCTCCCATCTCGAGGCCGAGATTCACATTTGTTCTCAAATGGGCCATTTTGACCTTTAAAATGCTAGAATAAATTTATTTTTTAAAGGGTAGTTTGGCAAGAAGCTTGCACTTTATCTTGGCTAGTCTGTTCACAGGCAAAAAAGAACTGTAGCTATTTTAAAGAAAATTAAAGGAAGTTCCTCTCTCCAACAAACAAGATACTAAAAGACCATACTAGTGCTAAGTATTATAAGAGCACAAATATCTTTTCAGTTTTGCCACATTTACCTGTAGCCTGTACACTTATATCCATGGATCGTCTCTGCTTTAAAAGGATGAACATTACTCAAGATAAATCCAGCTCCTGCTGCCACAGCCACTATTTGCCAGCTGTTGTGCCATTCTCTCCTTGGCTGATCAGCAGGTGTCCCACCCTGTCCATTACAAAGAGCCACATGGACCTCTCCCTCCTCTGATAGCACTTCTGCAGAGCTGGAAGGAAAGCCAGGAAACGAAAAAAAATCCTGCTATTACACCCAGAAGTCTTACAGTGTGAGAAAAACACACATAACACAGCTAGAAATCTGTATCATGGCACTTAATTAGCACAGAGCTATGTCTGCCTTACCTATGGAAGAAGTGCGCAAGAAGTTCTCTGTTCTTCACTACCCCAGCCTTTCTTCCACAGTGAGGGAAGTTGAAATGAATACAGTCAAATTCTCTTTTTCCTGGTAAAAAATAGTCCTTCAGCTTGGTGCAGTCCACTGAGAACATAACTTCAGCTCCTTCAACAGTAATCGAAAAACAAGACTGATGTTAATCGTTATGGAAAATGTTAAAAGAAGGTAGCAGTTAGCCCTCTAGTCCACTTTTAAGCATATCAGAGCAGCAGCTACCAGGCGTCTTCCCACCCGCGCATTAGGAAAACCACAAAGGCTAGGTTCCCTTTCCTGGCTTGCAGAGTCTTCTGCTGGCTACTTGTTTCAGTTCTGTTTCAGCCTGATTAGATCTTAGGGCAAATCGATTTGGACAATTCAAATTCCTCGTGGCAAAAGCAGTCGTCTTAGGTGCGTGGAGCGGTGAAGGGCTATAGAGTGACGGCACAGCTCCTGAGGAGGCAATGGGAGCGCCGGATCCTCGTTCTAAGGGAGGGATGCCGCCGCTCCAGAGCCTTGTCACGACAACAGCGGTGAGAGCTAAGGGCTGAGCACTACCGACACCGTTCCTCTCCCCGTCTCCTAGGACGCTGTGAGAAAGGACCACCGCCACCACCCTCCCTCCACAACGACGGGGGTGCGAACCCACCTTTCTCCCGCAGACGCTGGATGTTCTCCGCTGCTCCTCCACACCCGGACACCTCCTCTTCACTCCCGTAGCAAGTGGCCACAACGTGGGTTCCCTCGGCCCCGCACAGCGAGGCCGCGAAGGAGAAGTTGCCCTCCCCGATGAGCAGGACGCGGCGCACCGGCTCCATACCCGCACTCCGCCCGGAGCCCGGCGCTGCCTCATGACGTTTCCGCCGGTCGCCTGCCGGTGGCATCAGGCCGCACCGCCGCTGGCCCCGGCGGGGCTCCGCAGGACGCGCTGCGGAAGCGGCTTCTCCTCTCGGGCGCAGCCGGGGCCTCTGCGGCCATCTCCGGTTGCTTTGTGTGCAGCCGCTCCCCGACACGGACCCTCTGCACAGAGCCCAGATAGCTGCCGGCGCCCCAGGGGAGGCCAGCAGCTATAACTGAGAAGACGGTGTAGCTTCAGGACTGCGAGTTAGGGCTTGAGAGAGAACAGCAGTGCTTTACTGGTGCCTGTTCTATTTGTGTGCCCGCAGCTGCTGCAGAGGCCAAGGACAGTGTTTCAGGAGTCACTGACAGTGGAAGGCTTAAAATTGTTCAAAAAGCAAGCTCCAACAGAGATACTGCCTGCAATGAGGTCTGAGGTCAGTTTGCCCATTAGGTCCCTGTGGCCTTGACTAAATCACTTCGTTTCAAAGGGTGGGTAAGTTATTCTGAGATGTGTTCGGTACTGAGAAATGCAGGATCAAAGCTTAGGGAAATAGACACCATACCATCCCCTACCCCCCCCCCCCCAAAAAAAAAAAAAAAAAACAACAAACCAAAACCCACAAAGAAACAAAACCAACCAAACAAACCCAAACCACCCAAACAAAAATCAACCAATCAAAAAAGCTTTTTGTCCTCAAGGAGGAGCACAGCTCTTCTCTGGTGCCCTCTGTCACACAGACAAGTATAGGAAGTCCCTCTCCAGTGACTGTGGGAGTAGAAGGGACAATATTCCATGTCATGTTAACTGCTGTTGAGATCTAAGATGATCCTAGGGACTTGTTGATTTCTCTTGCCAGATCATGCCCAAGATCTCTATGTACAACTCCCTCCATGATCCTTAATGTATGCTACTGGCCTTGGGGAGCTGTGGATGGACTTGGGCAGCACTTCTAAACTTTCCCAGTATGGCTGGAAATGCACCACCAATGAAATGATTTATCAACAAAAGCCCCGTGGGGTGAGGTTTTCAGTATATTCACTGAAACAACATTCTCTTCAGATTACCACAAGTCAAAGCACTGGAGAATAAAAAGTCCATGCACAGAACTGAAACACAGTCTGTTGGATCAGTAGTGTAGCTAAAGAAGAGCTTCTGAATGACATTTGTGCTTGGAGATGACAAGGTTGTTTTCTCATTGTTGAGTTGCACTCCTGTGCCATCACAGAACAGGTATTTCAAGTCATTCAGGGAGTGGTATTTGCATTTCAAGTATTCTTGTCTAGCTAACCTCATCACGTTTATCCCCAATGAACTTTCGCTCAAAAATCCTATTTCTTGCTCCCGAATTTGAGGCTAACAAAAGCCTACTCTATAGAAAAGATTTGTGTTTTGTACCGCTCAGCAATGTTTGCATAAGTCAGATTAATAGTGTAGACGTCAGATCCTGTTTCCTGCTTGAAGGGCACTGACAACATGGTTTCAAAGTGATGTGATTTGCATCACAAGAGCAGAATGTTCTCCTCTCTAGATATACCTGCGTTTACTGCAGCTCTGCAGTTTTAAACTGCAACTGCTCTGAATTGGTGGCAGCATTTGGATGCTTGTCCATAACATGAGTCATTCTAGAGATTTAAGATGCAGTTGTCTTCCAGTCAGTTGTTATCGAATACCCACACTTCAAAGGGGTTTGACTGTCATGAAGTTGTTTTACCAGTCTAGTCTCCACTGGAAAAACGTTTCTGTTGCTTGTGAAACACTCTGAAATCCTCTGGCAACATTGAAGGAGAAGGTTCATGCAATTAGATGTTTGCAAAACATCAGAGTACACCAAGTGAAACTAGCAAAGTGTTTGTGAATACGAAGACAAACTCTCCTTGACACACCTGCCACTCAAAGCTGTAAGCAAGAATAATGCCAGGTATGTTTCCCTGCACAGCAACCTCACACAGCTTTTCTGACCCACCACTTTCCTTGTGCTCAGTGCTAAAACAACAAAGTACAAGCTGCTTATTCATGTTTTATTTGTTAGTAAACTTTCTCAGCATAAATAATAAGAGTAGCCATTCAGCATAGCTGGTATCTGATGAAAAGTGCTCTCAAATGGCCCCCTCAGGGTGACTTGGAAGAGCAGCCTACTTCCTTTGGGCTCCTGCGATGGCAGGCTTCTCTTCACGGGTGATGGGGATAGTGCGCTCTGGGACATCACTTTGTTTCCTTGGTGCGCTCACAGTCAGGACACCATCCAGAGAGAGTGATGAAGTTATGGTCAGAGGGTCCACATCATCTGGAATCCTGTATTTCCTGCTGAACTCCCTGGCAATAAAGCCATGCTCATCCTTCAAAAGGAGAAGAGAAGGAACAGTCCCGGTTAGAAATGTTCACTCAGTTCCACCTAAACCATGGGCTCTTTGCGTAAAGTCCGAGATTGGGAAGCTCCAGCTCTCACAGGAAAACTTTTCAGAAAATTAGAAGAATTTTCATTATGAGATGCTCTTTTTAAAGAGACAAGACAGGCAGAAGTGAGGCACTGCCCTGCCTAGGCTGCAGGTGCATGCAGATGCACTTTTTAAAGGAGCTATATGTGCCTGAGACTGGTCTCATTGCACAGTGGTGTGCTGTCATTCCTAAGATGCAGCAGCTAGACTCATGTGCAGTGCCATCTACCCCCGTTCCTGACGGTCCCCAGAACATTAGAGATACACAGCTTTCTAGTGAGCTGATCTCTGCCCTAGTACTTGATTATTTTCTTAGCCAAAAAAGTTTGCAGAAGCTATGTCAGGATTATAGGCTTCCACCAGCTACAAGTAATGCTGTATTTCCTGACTGACAGACCTTTGTGATCCCAGAAGCTCTTAAAGCTGACAATTCCAGTCACATAGCTATTTTATTACATGTATTCGTTTCCTTCTGGCAAGGAGGCAGTGGTAGGAGGGAGGTGGAGACTGGCAAACCCTGCTGCATACAGCTTTGGACATGGCTTTTGACTTCTGTCTGTCCAATTGCCACACAGGTCTCCTGAGCCAGCAAGCAATGCTGAAAGAATACAATCTTTAAAGATTACAAAGATGGGCCTTTTTCAGGAAGAGGTAGCCTCATGGTAACAGAACAGGGTAATGCACTGATTCATTATGTGGTTTAGTTATTACAGTTTGTTGTTAGCTTGTGGAATGCCTCCCTGCATTCCTGGCCTCTTCACAGAAAGAGGGAGGCCCAAAAATGCCCATTTCAAAGGTGATTTTCCAGTTCAGTTCACAGTTCATGTAACATCAGCAATAAATCTTCACCCTGTTGCTGCCCAGCCTGGGATCATCTGGGCAGGGTGGGGTGTTGCACAGAGCATCTTCCATTAGGATTGGTTAATAAAGAAACCAGAACTATTTGAGATGAGCACAGAGGATTATTTTGCAGTCTCCTTGTTTAACCATAGATGAGGAAGTTCACATTGACTCTATCAATCAGTCATACAATTAAAGTAGAAGTACCTGGCGCTCCTCGTGCTTCCCGTGAATTTCTATCATGTCCCCCTGCACCTTCACTTTTAGCTCTTCAGGGGAGAAATGTTTCACATCAAGATTTACAGAAAATTTGTCCTTCTCCAGTCGCATCTGCAAAACAAGTAGGTGGCTTCAGAAAAGAGCGGGTGAGGGCTTCAGCTTAAAAAGACTCTCAGAATACAGCAGTTCAAGACTCTGTGGTATCTACACATGCAGTGTCAGACTTGGTATTCTGATCTGGGTGGCTTTGCCCTTTGCTGGCCTGTTACATTAATGCCCATCACTGCGGTATCTAAAATGTGAATGCTTTCTCTTGATAGATGTTTTCCTTGGAAGCAAGGAAGAGATTCTAAATCTGAATTTGTTAAAACTGACTCTTCTGTTGGTGTACGGGTTTTGCATCCAATTCTTTTTACAGAATGTCTGGAGATTTCCAGTTTCTGTGGCTGGATTTTGCCAAGTCTTAAAAGCAAAAGAAACCCTGCCTGTACAGCTGAGTGAAGCTCATATGAAAGCTCGCAATCTTTCCCCTGTATCACTGCTCTTTAATAACCCAAATAATGTGTCACTGTGAGAAGCACAGCCTCACTGCTCACCTCCATAATCTGAGCAGCAGGACTTTTGCTGAAACTCAAAATCACCTGTTGCTAATCTCGCCTCTTTCCCCTCCATTTTGCACTTTATCACCTCTATTAAACACTGCTTTTTGCTGCCTTCTGAGGTTGAATTTGCACATTCTGCCTGTCTTGGGCACATCTGTGGAACTTTGCTGTAAGAGCTGGCTGTGTCAGCCTTCCTGCTGCATTCATGGTCAGGAACATGCAAGCCTCCTGGAGCTCTGCTCTGGGATGTGGAGGCAGCCTCTGTGCCAGCTCTGCTTACTGGTTTCTGCAGTTTGACCTGGGAGGCTAAGTGCTTCCTCCTCCTTCCAGAAGATTTCTCCACTGACTGAGATGTTGTTACCTGTGGTGCTTTTTATGGCTGCTTCAGGAACAGCCAGATTCAGGTCACTAAATCAAGGGAAACATTATGCAGATTAAAACAATACTTTCAATCCTTTGTCTTAGAATAGCTCTAAAAGTTACTTGAAAATAAGACAGTTGACTCACAGAACAGGTAAGTTTATTGGAGCTACGTGCTTCTTGGCTCAGCCCCTGAAGTAAGCAGCCAGCTGCTTCATGATCTTTTGGGTCCTGTATCTTAAAATGCTTCTCTTCTCAGCAGCGATTCTCTAAAACAGGCCCCTTTTTCCTCAGCGTGAGCTCCCACACTGCCTGACATGAGTATCTCATTACCCCTGCCAACTACCCCTGTTCTGTTTGCTTCTCAGGAGGGAGTGGGATTGAAAGTTTTGCACAGCAGACAGGGAGATAAGGGCTCTTCCTTTATTCCATCAGCTCGTTTGCCACAGTTTGCTTCTATTCCGAATGATATGGCAATACTTGCACTCAGTTACAAATGATTAGACAAGCATACAGAGGTTCTTAATGCAGAAGAGCAGAGACACAAACACAGCACCCTTTTCCTCGGCCTTTTCCTAATAACCACCTATAAGAAGCTTCCAAGATCTCAGCTCTCATGGGTCTCCAGCTCCAGACCCATCAGGATGTGCACACAGCAATAACAAAGATCATTAAGAAGGGAAGATTACCTCAGAGAGTCCTGTCTCTAGCCAACTGGGCATCCGAAGAATGGGGGATCTCATCAAGAAGGGACTGAGGCTGGGGGAAGCAGGGAGTAGCTCTGACTCCTGCAGGTGCTCTCCGAATATCTGGTCAAAGATACGACTCGGTGCCAACCAAGACAAGAAGGGTCTGCGGATCAGGGGGTTATGAATGGTGATATCCATTGGAGTGCGCTGGAGGTGGCTGGCAAACGACTGTGCTGCAGTGCTGTGCCGGGAGCGCAGGACAGCTTTATACCCGTGCAGCTGGCCTGATCTTCCCCCCCCTTCAGGCCTCTTGAACAGTGGTGTCAGGGATTTTATTGTCCCACTCCTGGGCTGGTCCCTTCAGTGGTGCCCAGTAGCTGTCTGAGGGATTTGAACACATTGCTGAGGAGGAGGGGGAAGGGGAGAAGAAGAAAAGGAGCCTAATGGGGCAGCAAGAAGCCAAACTGCCCAGCCACCCGCCCTGCTCCCCACGTGCTGTTTATCTGCAGAGACCCAGGCAGGCTTGGCGGATGTTCCCAGCTGCTTTGGATGCCAGCAGGATCAATGCAACTCCTATCTTTGGCTTACAGGGAAAATGACAAGGGGCCATTGTTCCCACTGCCAGCACTGAGACTTCAGTCATACATCACCCACCAGCCTAGGGAGAGCTCTGCCCCTCCTTAAGGCAAAAGAGGGCACAGGCCTGCTTTAGTTGGAGGGCAGGAAAGACTCCAGGAGGTCTTTGCCGAGGTACCCTTGGCAATGCAGTTCTCTGCATCCCAGTAAGCCTTAGTGGATACCCATTGGTGTGTGTGAACGAAAGATGGCTTTCCTCACAGTGCTTCAGCCCAACACCTCTCATCTTTTGCCCACTGCAGAAACCACTTGGCTGGAGTGAGCAGAAAAGCCCCACACTATGACCTCAGAGTAGTCCAGAGGGCTGTCAGCAGAGATAAACCAGGCATGATGGGGAGTTTCCCAGGGCATGTCTTCATTGACTATCATAGTTGTTTAGTCCATCTCATGCCCCATCCCTGGCAGTGTTCAAGGCCAGGTTGGACAGGGCTTGGAGCAATCTGGTCTAGTGGAAGGTGTCCCTGCGAGTGGCAGGAGGGGGCTGGAACTGGATGAGTTTTAAGGTCACTTCCAAACCAAACTACTCTGTGATCCTGTGCCAACAGCCTCCAAGATGGTACACTGCGACATGCCTTCTCAGGGATCCAAGCTACCTCTATCTGCCTGTGCCCTTGCAGTAAGCTGATTTCCAGTAATTATGCTTCTAATATGCCTTCATTCACACATTTTAATTCCTGCCTCATTTGTGAACCTAAATCATGGCAATAGCATCAGCCCAGCAACTGTCCTTAAAGGGCAAGAGTTAGTCTCTGCCTGTGTTTGTTTGCAACTTAAACACAATTACTGGCCCAGAGGCACATCATTCTTACTGCTAGCACCACCAGTCTTTTGCAAAAGGTTCTGGCCCTCTTCATCTCAGTGTGGCTGCAAGAACAGGGAGCAGGGTTTGCTCTGTGCAGCAGCTCAGGCCATAAATACCTTCTCCAATTCCCCATTACATCAGCAGTAGTGCACCTGCTCTCAAACTGCAGGGACATGGACTCAGGGAAATCTCTGGTTTCAGGGTACACTATACTTCCCCCATCCATGTCCCATTCCTCCCTCCCCCTGACCACCCCCAGTTCAATAAAACTGGATCTGTGCCAGCTTCAGATCACTGTTAACTCTTGATCTCTGGCACAAACATTTCTCTGGGTCTCGTTACATTGTGCCAAAGCTCTGGACAGGGAACAGTCTGGGCAGGCAGCTTGCAGCAGCACCATTCAGGATGCAGAGCCATTAGTATCTGAATCCTGTTAACTACCTGCACCACTTCACCACTCATAGGAACAAAAGGCTTGAGCCATATGCTCAGCTGCTGGGTAAATGAACCTCCTGTGTGTAGGGCATGGGAAGGGCTGATTTGAGTCCTAAGCTCGCAGTGGGGAAATGGGTGTGATAGTGACTTCATGTGATTGTGCATGACCTGATCAGGCACCAGCCATCACTAGCTACTGCCGTATCCCCATGGGGTGCTGCCCAGCCAGCAGGACCAGTGTTAGGGACTACTTGAGCCTACTTACAATGAACTTTCCTGCTTGCCCTTGCCTTTGTGAGCACCACAGGCAGCAGAGCCGGGGGTCTGTTCTGCTTTAGCCTCCCTTAGCTCACCTCTGTACCTCCCTGCTGTACTTGGCTGCCCATTTGCCTCCTGCACCCCTTGCTCGAGGAGGGGATCTCACAGGGTGGGAGGAGGTATGGCATTTTCCTGAGAGGTCCCTGACTGCAGACAGTGGAATGCAGTGAGAAGCTTCCGTCGTCACCCTGGCAAGGCATCCCGGGGCCTGTGCTTGTGGCTATTTTGGTCCATCTTTTTATCACACACTCCTCCCTGTGGAATTCACCCAATTAAAACCTTGCAATCTGCAGCCTTCACTCTCAGAGGCAGTGAGTGCTTGGAAAGACACACCATGGCTGCAAGGACTGTCCCCCATGCCTACCCCATGAGTTCGGAGTATGAGTTTGCCAACCCTAGCAAGATCTATGACCAGAACTTTGGAGAAGGTAAGCACCTTTCTCTCCTCTGCTGCAGGAGGGCTGGTGGAGTCTCCCTGGGGATATTGAGCTCCAGAGCAGGCTAGGTAAGGTGGAGCCAAGGAATTTTAAGTGCAAGAACCCAAATGGAGGTGGGGGATATCCAGGGAACGTCCAGGGTCTCTCTCTTTAGGTCCACTTCCTCCATCCATGCCTACTGCTGTCTCTCCTGTCCTCCCTCATGCCCCCAGTGGTCTGGCATTCATGCATACGCTGTGCAAACATGGAGCAAAATGCTCTGGGGGCAGAGGTGGGGGGGGCAGTTTTTGCAGCCGGGGGCTGTAGAGAAAAGCTGAGCTGTGCTGTTCAGCACAAAGCTGGGCAGTGGCTGGCAGAGGGGAAGGAATGTGGGCAGCAGCAGAACCATTCAGCACCAGCACAACAGCGTGAAAATGCAAAAAGCTCCAAGGAAAGCCTCTTGGACAATGGCACACAAAAGGCCTTTAGTTCTTCAGGGCAGTTTCTTCACCATCAGCATTTTCCATGCCCATCCCTGGCTGTGTGCTGTGCGCTGCAGGGCACCCAGTGCACCTACCAATCCCTCTCCTTTCATCCAGCAGACATGCAAAAGCTGGAACCAGTCCTTTTCTTGCTGGCAGTTCCTGGCTTTGTGGTGCGAGGCCGTGTCTGGCAGGCATCTGGCTGTGTATGTGCTTTAGGGATACAAAGGTAGGAACAAAGAGACTGCATCCATATTGTGCTGATGTGGTGGCAAAACCAAGGTGTTTGCCAAGCCCTAGCTTCCTCCTGTCAGCCTCCCCTGTCTGCTGCCAACCATCCTTCGGCGACTCCTTCCCCTGGAAACCCCACACTCCTCACTGCATCTCATTTTCAGGTGTGTCCCCATGTGAGATCTTAGCACCTGCTCTGTACCATGGTTACTACATCAGGCCTCGGATCAATAAGCAGCTGGATCGAGGCACCTCTGAGATCAGCCTCAATGAACACAAATTCGAAGTATTCCTGGATGTCTGTCACTTCCTGCCGGATGAGCTCACTGTCCGCACTGTGGACAACCTGCTGGAGGTGATGGGGCAGCACCCACAGAAGGCTGATCGCCACGGCTTCATCTCTCGAGAGTTCACCAGGACCTATATCCTTCCTCTGGATGTTGACCCCTTGCTGGTGAGAGCCACGTTGTCCCATGATGGCATTTTAAGCATTGTGGCTCCCCGGACAGGGAAGGAGATAAAGGCCAGAGTCAACGAGGTGAAGATAACTCAACAGGAGCAGCCAGTGGGGAAACAAAAACAGTCTGGGGAAGGAAAAGAGAAGAAAGAGTCCTAAAGGCCCCTAATCTGGGCTTTCATTGGGAAGGTGGGTGGGACAGGGATGGGGAATCCATGGTGCCAGACCCCTATTTCCCATCATCAGTGTTTAGCAGGGCTGTGAGCAGCCATATATATGCCAGATTTTTGCTTCTTAAGGCTGATGGCTGGAAAAAGGGACTTGGAACCAAAAAAAAGAGGGGTGTGAGTTGGTGTGAGGGACTGTAATGCAAGTTTTCTCCTAGGTCTAGTGCTCATTGAGCACCATGCAGGGTGCTCTCCTCTCATCCCAGATGGCAAGGGTCACTCTTGCTCTAAACTGTGAGGCTGTGTCACAGTGGACTGTTAAAACAGCTGCTTTGCTCTAGCCCAGAAGGGTACTGGGAAGAGGGAACAGATGATCTCAGAGTCTTGCTTCTGACCTTTATGGAGATGGAAGGTGCTTGTTGGTCTGTAAAAGTGCCTGCAGCTCTCAGGAGGAAAGAGGAATAAATCTGCCTCTGATCTTCGCTTGTTTCCATTGGATTCATGTTCCTTCTGGCTAAGGTACTCTGCAGCAGAAGGATGGACAGAGCCTTAACTGCTCCAGATGTGGGGAGCAGAGCAGTAGATTATTCACACTGAGCTCATCTGTGGAAATGGCATCAGTGAGGACTTGGAGGACCTCTGGCCATGGGACACCAGGGGGACCTTTGTGATTGACTCTCCTGGCTCAGGTGCAGCTGGAGCTGCTTGCTGTTGTAGGGAGACCACAGTAGGCAACATCCTCAAGGAGAAAAGATGCAGAGTGATGAGCTCTTGGAGGCTCACTGTGCATTTCCAGACCTGCAGCTGATGTTAGCCCAATTAAATAAATGCCAACCCATGGCCTCTGCTTACTTCAGCCCTCTAGTTTATGGGACATAATGCTTGTTCACACATGCATCTTTTCAGCCCTTATGAGGGAAATGAACCCCAAACTGCTGAAAGGAAAGGCTCTGCTCAGATCCCAAGTGCTTTGCTTACATGCCAGCACTCTCTGTAGAGTCACAGGGGGGATGAATTTGGTCCTTTTTGCAGACAGTGTGATGCTACCGGCTACATGAGAAATGTCTCAGTAGTCTTGTGATTTTGGGCCAGGGATCGTGTGTGCTGCTGTCAGTGGCAGCTGCTGCCTTGGGATGGCCCCAAGGGCTCAGCAGGTGCCAGTTGCAATCCTTTTTTGTCAGAGCCAATTAAAGAAGCCAAAATGCTGTGTCACTGGCCAAATATGGGGGCCCCTGTCATGCCTCAGTGCAGCCTTCTCACAGAAAGAGGAGGTACCAAGGTCCCTGTGGATAGAGCTTCTCCCTCTCCCTGCTGGGATGTGACTTGCAGACTTCTGAACTCTTCCTCCGTGAATAAATTGGGCCAGAAATGCTCTGCTCAGGAGTCTGTCCCGTGAAGCATACCTCCTCAGTTGCTGAAACAGTGATACAAGGCTGCTTTTTCACACTTGCCAGGCAAAGTGAGATCCAGATCAGAGCAAACCACTGTGCAGCTATTTTCAACTTCTCAGGGCCCCTACCATTAGTGAAGATCAGAGCTAACTTAAGTGCAGCCCTGCCTGCAGGCTTTATGAGAGCAAGCAGGAAGATCGCTAAGACTCCTTCCCTGCAGTGCAGATCAGGTACCCCACACTCACAGTCTGTACTGCTGAGGGATGCCCTTCATTTTTTATAGGCAATGTCAGCTTGTTCTGTCCTTGAACCACACCTATCGCAGCATGGCTCCAGTTCCTCCATGGCTGAGGTACCTTGACGTTATGGCAATAGAAATGCACAGCATTAGTAGTCATTACACCGTTCTGTTTCCCCTCTGACTTTTATTAGCCCTCCCTTTGCTCTCCAATGAGTTCATTCTCTATTGCTGGGCACTTGCAGGCTCATGCTGTGCCAGTTGCAGAGCTTGTTACCCAGACGCTGTCCCTGAGAGCATGAAGACAGATGCCTCAGCAATGATGCAGTGAGAGGGGTTGGCACTGCCTGGTGTCAGCCACTGGGCTGCTCCTCTGCACCCTGCAAGGCTTTGCACAAAATATCCTGATCGGTTTGCTGAGCAGGAGCGCTGGAAGCCATGCTGTCTTTCATCCCTGCAGACACAGACTGAGGAGGGAATGCAGAGTGGCAGCCAAGTGATCTCCAGCTCTGCCAATGTTTTTGATGCCTTTCTGTTTCTCTGGTGGAGCTCACACCAGCAGCTCCAATATTTGTGAAAGGGGCTGATGGGAACAGTCTCCCAGCCTTTTCTTCTTGCTTGTCCACAGAGCAACAAAGCCCAAGTTATCCCAGAAATCAAAACAGATACTGGCTCTCTAAACCAACAGTGTCTGTGGCAAACCCAGAGACAGTCTGCAACTTCCGAAGCAGGGACAGACTCCTGAGATGACCAGATCTTTGCAGAACCCTGAGAACATGGTCCTGTTGGGACCAGGACTAAATCCCATTTACCCACATAAATCTGATTCTAAATTCTCCCTGGGCTGCTGTGGTGCAGACTAAACCAAACAGTTTCTCCAGCCACATGCTGACGAGCAGTTTCTGAGCAAGACTCAGGCTCTGAAGGTCACAGTGCAGCTCATCCAGGGTTCAGCTAAGAGAGCAGCTGTGCCCTGCAGTTCAGAACTCATCTCCTTCCACTTCTGGACAGATACAGGCTCTGCTCTGCACTTGGGCAGATGATAAATGATGCTTGTGAGCCTGGCTGAGAACATGGGTACAGCTGGAATAGGGGACTAGCACTGGTTCCTGAGATAGCCTGCCAGAAGCATGAATTAAAACTTACCCACTTGTCAGCACATCCCATGAAGCATTCAGACCTGCACAGAACTGGGGTTGTCTGCCAAATCAAAGCTGTGGAGCACAGTTTCTGCTCAAGGACTACATTGACAAGGTATTTTTCAGTATTGAGCATCAGCTCTTAGAGATGCCAGAGATCAGCTACCTGTCATTTAGTCTAGGAATGACCCAGCACAGTCTGAAGGGCTCTCAACAGGGGTAAAAAGGTAAAATACACATTAATGCTCTTGTTTAAGGCCCTAAGGGGTAAGCCTAACAGCTGTATTGCAGGTCCTTAATATTGCGAGGTCCCTTATGGGATTCTGTCATTCTCAAAAACAAAAATCTATACACTTAAATCTACATAGGTAAGAAAAAAGATTCCCAATAATGTCCCTGAGTTTTCATATGCCTTTATGCCAGTGGCAGAAGCAGCAGCACTACAGTTCAGCTGAGGGTAGACCTGCAAGCCTGCTCCCACCTCTGCTGGGATACCACCTTCCCTCCCAAGAAAATACACTTTCTTTCCCAGGTGATGCCAGCCTGTGCTGCACATTTTTCTGACATCCTGCTGGAGTTGCAATGATGAACAGCAGGAACACACTGAAAGCTCCCACCCTGGTGTTTGTCCTTTCGATCAGGAACATTTGAAGTCCCTCCTTCATTCTCTTTTGCATCACTGCTGGTATCAGCTGGTTGCGCTGGTGGGAGAGCGGGATAGCGGAGGGACATCCACTGCGCAAATCACAAAGCAGCATTTTAGCCCCAGGGCAGAGGGATGCTGCTGCCTTGCCCTTTCCTACCTGGGTAGCAAGAGGTGAGCGCTGTCCCTGGGGCACGGAGAGCCCAGGGCAAGCGCTCCGGTAGATGGCACGCACGGGCCTATAGCAAAGCGTCATTACAGCATGGAGAGAAATCCGACACTGCCAGACACTCCCTTGGAATAGCCAGGGGCCGAGCAGGAACCAGGAAATACACGCTCTCCCTGTCCGGAAAACACTTCTGTTTCATGGAGGAGGGAGCGACATGGGCAATCGCTGCAGCTGCGGGCGACCATGGTGAGTCCGGCATCCGCCAGATACGGGGATGGCAGCGCAAGTTCCGGGCAGCCTGAGCTGAAGTTTGGGTGGACTTTGCAAGCTTTGCTTCTTGGTGCTGGGTTTGAGATGGCTCCTGCCCGGCTCTCGGCACTGCACCGTGCCAGCTCACACCGAAACCGAGAGCAAGTCAGTACGGACACTTGGGTCACTGCAGGTGCCGGGGCGGGGGCGGCAGCCTGGGGCAGCCCCTGCTGTCAAAGGGAAAGGAGAGGGGGCTTTGTTGCTCACATCCCTCAGCCCTCATGGGACTGGTAGCTTGGGTTCGCACAGCCATGCCAGCAGCTGAGAATAGCTCAGTTCTAGGAAGGATCTGGTTAAATCCCTGTCCTTGCCCCAGTGGTCTCTGGGCAGGTAGATACCATACTTGTCCCTTTGGCATAGTGCAGGGAGGGGCCCTTGGGGCAGTGCTGGCATTAAAAGCTCATAGGGTCAGCTACGCCATCCTACTCTCAGCTTCTCCAGCCCTTCTCCCCGCCTGCCTCTGTCTGGGCTTTATTTGCAGTTGGGAAATCCGGGCCACGTTTTTCAGATGATGTTGCTCTTTCTCCCTGGGAGCAGGATGACAGTTTAATCCCTCCTGGCTCATGTTGTGCCCTGGACCTCCTGCTTAGAGAAAAAGGGCACAGTGGAGCATCATTCGGTGCCAAGTGGAAATATTTTCAGCTCTGAGCATGGTACAAGGGGAGAGCCATGAATATCAGATGAAGCTCCGAGGGCATTCTCTCCAACACTGCATCTGTTAAAAGTATTAGAAATTCATCAGGGCTTTTTAATAATGACAAGAGGCAGAGCATCACCTAGTGGCTGAAGCAAAGGAGGAGGATCAGGGCACAGAGGTCCTTCCAAGGTAAATAGGAATGTGCTGTTAGCATGGGACCACATAGACAGCAGAGGACCACAGTTAAGAGAAGACTGGTTCTTTGAAGCCCCTCTGCAGAAGTCTGCATGATTCATAGCTTTACCTTGGTGACAAAGGGAAAATGGTACTTAATTTTAGTTCAGGTGTTTCGAGATTCTTGCACTTTTATTTCTGTGTATTTTCTCGGCACCACAGCTGTGTCAGCAAAGAGCTGAGCTTTCTAAATGACGGTGAGACTTAAAAAAGGGCTAAGGGGAGATAGGTAATCACCTTCTTTTGTATGGAAATCCTTGTCTTGATTACTACCAAAGCACAGGCCCTAAGGGAGACAGAGCAAGGAGTGACAGCCTGAGTTGCCTTTAAAGAAAAGTCATTACAGCAAGTTTATTCACACAAGAAAGATACCAGTGAAGGAAAGTGTGCCCTCAGGTCTGGGTACCTCTGCAAGTATGGCCCTGTGGGGGGCAGGCCCTGGGTATTGTCACCATTTTGTTTAGTACTCAGGGCCTTTGGTGTGCATGGAGAGTAAAAGACGCCAAAATTCAGGACCAACTGCAAAGCAGGCTTGTGTAGGACAGAAATCAGGCTGTCACTGACATGGGGAAAGGGGAATAAAATACAGGAGCAGGGACATATGTGTTGTCATGTAGAATGTACAATGTGCTTTTAGCTGGCTGTGAGTGAGTTACAACATGTTTGACCTGGTTTTGAGAAGGGGTGAGAGGTTTGCCCTGCTCTAGTTTCCCTTGCCATAT